GTGTGTGTGTGTGTGTGTGTGTGTGTGTGTGTGTGTGTGTGTGTGTTTAAAAATGAAACACACGCCCCCAAAGTGGTGAGAGTGTGCTTTAACTACTTACAAACGCAGAGTGCCGCCGTTTCAGAGTGCCAGTGCACTGCTGCCTCCAGGGCCGCCACAGCAGGAAACCCAGCAAGTACAGTACAAACATGGAGGTCTTGGTGAATGTGCTGAAGAAGGGTTTGTTGTACTCCTGTCGCTTGAAAATGTACTGCAGGAGGAATCAACAGGAGGAAGCTGTTAGGGAAACAGCTTGTATGAGTTAACCGACATGTTGCAAGCTGGACAGTTTTCCCTCTCGGGGCACTCCGGTTTCCTTTTGCTTTTCAAGTTAAACACAGTTCCCCCTTAGAGCATATGATGTAACAAATGACATTTACTTAACACAATGGGACACTTGATACTTCCCCTTCTCTACATTTCAGAAGAAATCGTACTTTTTTTCTCCAGTGCATGTATGTGATGGCTGCAGTTACTGTTGTATCTTTGTTTCGTTATTCTTTTTGACATTTTAGACGACAATAGGCTGTATGTTTGCTGGTTTCCTCGAGTCCTACATTCCTAGCTACTTACGACCTTCTATGCTGCTGACTCAGCCTTCTTTTGAAATGCATATAATATATATTTGACTAGAACATATGGAGTTGCAGGATTGATAATTACTAATAAATGATTGGAGTACTTTATTAACCACCTGTTGGGAGACAAACAGGCAAAGTTATGTCAAACGTTGGGGCACAACACAATAAAACACAAATAAATATACCAAATGCACATTATTGACTTCCAGAACATCTCAATGCACTCTGGTGACTGAGTACATCTGCCCCCCCCCGCTCTCATTTGTGTCCTCTCGGATACTGCAACCCACAATGCAGCAACAGGTGTGGAAAACTGACTGAATGTGACAAAGTCCTTACCGAGGTCAGCTCAGAGGAGGCTACCCAGATGACATCCACCAGCAGGAGTATCGCCACCCCCAGGGCCATCCGCCTTCGCTGGGCTGCAGAGCTGCCCTGAGAGCTCATCCGGTTCATGATGAACACCCACTCCATCAGGACACTGGTGAGCCGTGCATGGACGAACAAGAACACGGTGGAGTTACAAGATATTCACAAAATGAGTTTTCTATGAAAGTGAATTCTAGATTCTAACAAGAAAGTACAGAAATATTAGCAACTCTGTGTCTCCTAATCTACTTAAAAATGGCAGCGTGGTAATAATTTCAAATTAACTTTGAAATGATCGATTCAGACAGAAAATTTAACTGCAACTATTTTTATAATTGTTCAAGTAATTTAACAAGCATAGATTTAAAAAAAAACAGCTTCTTAAATGTGAGGATTTAATGCTTTTTCTTGTTTTATATCATATTTATATATATCATATTTATAATAGGGAAATTGAAGGTGTCACCTTGGCCCCTAAGTAATTGTGATGGTCTATTTTCTATAACTTTATAGTCTAAAGAAGCAATTAATCCTTTAATTAAAAGTGACAGCGAACCAGCACATTCAGAGCAAACGGAAAAGGATAATATCCCAGCAGGGCTGACAGCAACTTTGAAATAACTTTGCAACACACACCTGTTTACCAGCTAAATGTACACACTGAAATATTCTTTCCAGATGCGGACGATAGAGAGCAACCCACAGGCAGCACAACCCTGACACAAAAACAAATAGAAAACAGCAATGTTACATATTCAAACCTACAACTAAGCCTATAATGTCACAAGGAACATCAGTAGAAATGCTACCACTCTAATAAGTCACACTGTTACTTTTAAAGTAACAATAATGTCAGGAAGTAAAGTGACATTTTTTTTTAATCAACCTGACAAAATTACATTCTTGTGGGAAGAAAAGAAAAGGCAACACTGTAACTTCTTTACATTCTAATAGAATGTAAAGAAGTTACATTGTATCAGAATGAAGCTTCTTTATATTCTAATAGAATGTAAAGAAGCTACAGTGTATCAGAATGATTCTATTGAAGTTATTCCTTTTTTTTAATGTTTTAGACGAGTCACTTATCACTTTAAAATAGTGATTATAGATGATTTAACTTACAGACATGAGATTGATCTTCTCATGTCACTCTCTTTATACAATGATATAAATTCATCCCCGTTTTATTGATATCTTACGAAATATTACTCCTCACTTTTTGTGCGTTTTTTCTGCAAAAGTCCAGCAACATGAGTCTGTTTTCGCTTGTTCCATGCATACTGTCTTTTCAAAATAAACTTCCATCTTCACAGGAAACAACTAAGGTTTAGGCCAGGCATGTCCAAAGTCCGGTCACACACGGATGCTTACATTTGGTTACATTGCTATTTGCTGTCATTGAAAATAAAATGATTAAATAACAATGTATGTATAGACTACTTGTATTGTTTAAAATAATGTCAGCAGGGACTGTTGGCCATTGGGCATTTTCACATTATCAAATCTGGCCCTCTTTGAAAAAAGTTGGGACACCCCTGCTTTAATGCAACGAAAGACCTTATAAAGACACGTATGTTTACATCTCTACGTCCCTGTGTTAAATAGGAGTGACGTTATAGAAGTAAGCTCAGTGCCAGCTAGCTAAACGTCAGCTGTGGGTGGTGCATAGTGCACACCTTAATGTAAAATAGAGCTGTACTGTACGTAGCTGCACATGTTAAGCGCGAGCTTAGTTAGCTGGCTATTTGCATGTGTAAACGGGTAACGTTAGCTTAGCTGTGTGTGAATGCCATCAAAGCTGTCGCGGTCAGATGAGCCGCTTCTTCAAACCCTAAAAGCTAGCGAACCAGCTTACGAGCTAACGACTGTACTCGCTGTTAAATTGTTACAGACTGGAAGTCAACAAGGTTGCATTTCGATGTAACGTTAGCGTCAGTTCACTGGTTCGAGGCCAGCTAATGTGTGTAGTTAACGTTTGCAAATAACCGCTGTTCTCCGTTTACTTGTTTATCAATATCAGATAACTAACGTTGACGAGCTAAGCGCTAACGAGCTTGCTTGATTAAGTGATCAAAGGGTTAACTTAAGAAGTCTTTTTACCTGAAGGCGAGACGAGGTCATTTAGTTTGCACCATTACACACGTGTCGTTACATATGCTGCTGAAATATCGACAAAATCCCAGTTTTTACGATACAATTATTGACAGCCAAGTGGTTGTAAACATTAGCACACCCTCCCCTCTTCGTTATCAGGTGACATCACTTATGTGCTGCAGAGACTTCTGGGATATGAAGTTCTAAATGGCGAATATTGCGACACAATTCATACTTATTTTTAAAAATCAGATTAATTCATTCTGTCTATTGAAACACGTTACTACTGAATATATATTTATATCACAACTAATGACATAACAGTATGTGGTTGTTAAACTATGGTACCAAAGGCTTAAACAGATGAGATTTTGAGAATTTTTTAATTATTACATAATTACATATTTACATAATTACATATTTTGATACTTCTTGACTTTTAGTACATTCTACTCTTCATAGTTAATTTTCCTCAAATACAGTTTTGAATGCAGAGCTTTCACTTGTAATGCTAACATTGTAGTATTGCTACTTTTCAAATACATGAATATTAATGTTCATAATGAAGGTTTTTATCAATTATTAAAGCGAATGTATGAACTCCTCAATCAACAAAAAGCTCTGTAATGAATTGTATGGATATCTGTCTGTGTTCCTCCACCAGTGCATGCTGGGATAGGCTCCAGCCTCTCCAGTTCATCAAGATATGCAGATGTTGGTTTGATAGACATGCTCTAGAATGACGTTATCATTAACTACTCTTTATACTAATACCAGTTGCTTTCATGCCTGTTGGGTCATAAAGTTCTTCATGACCGAGTTTAAGGTCATACGCTCAATTTCACCACCTTGATTTGTATGTTTCTACATCCTGTAGTCCAAAGTCAGGATTAAATCAATAACATTTCTTTGCATAATTACCTTGGAGACGGAGGAGAAAAAGTGAATAAAAGTAAGTGATGTGTTGAAACAAAGTGGAGAAACAAGAGCTGGAACTTTCTGAGGTAAGATTGATGATCTTCTGCGTTTCTGTGATGTTTTCTATCTTCTTCTTTGAATTTGTTAGGCTTACCTCACTACACAATAATTGTCATTGACATGTCATATGTATTCATTATATAGCTCAGAGAGATGTAAAGATGCTTTAGTCTGACAGTTGCTGAAGCTGGCAGACACACAGCGTTCCTCACCGATATCAATGACAGTCCAGAATAATAAAAGTTAATTATGTTTTACCATTTTGTCAAGCAGAATATCGATAACGTAGTGTAAATACAAACAGGACAAATAACATGTCTGAACAGAAGTAATCATACGTATAAATACAAAGCACAACTCAATTCTCCAAATCTGTATTCAAGAATTAAACTATTTTTAAAGCACTGCTTGCATGTTACAGTGAGGGACAAATTACTATGGGGCAACTTTGAATTGTATGCATATTGTATGCATGATGTTCTAACTTGAAATATATTTAAATTTTAAAAAGTGATCAGTTATTTGACCTCTCACCTTGGATCCTAAATTATTTTGTATAGACGTTGTCCAAATCCTCTGGCAGCAGGGACCTTATGTTGAAACATCAACACCGTATTAAGTTTTGTTTTTTTAATTGTAAAACAATTGCGAGACACCATACAAATCACAGAATCCAGTTTAATCATTTCCAAAACATGCTTTAAATCATATTTGCTATGTAAAATTTCCAATGAAATCCTTTTACTTAATAATTAATATATTAATTACCAGGAAAACTCTCCAGTCTCTTTCCAATCCGTTAATTCTGTTTCACTATATGGAGACCTGGAATGACATCGAGCACTGTTGCACATTCTGAACAGGTCCGGACATTTGTTACGAATTTCAACAAAAGAAAAAAGAAGCCCATTGCAATTGTTACGTTTTTATATTTGGTATAAATATATATATGATTGATATTTGTATTTTATATATTTAGTTTCCGAATAAAAATTATTTAGTTTTGTCAACTGGGTCAGCTATCTTTTAAGTTTTGTCTGTGGTGCTGATCAGGAGTCTGTTGCAGAGGCACCCAAACAAACAACACCACTGACAAATTATTCCACTCACGGTATATATATACGCCTATGGCTTTGTTTGTTTGTTACAACATAACATTCCTAAAAAAAATTGAAAATATCATAATAATAATTTGTTTCTGTAATAGCTACCATGTGTCCAGCAGGCGGCGCTGCTTTTATGCTGCGCTTTAAATAACAGTAGAAGAAGAAGAAACTCGGCTTTTTCAATTAAACATGGCAGCTTCCCTAATAAAGCAGAGTTGTTGACCTTATTGACTATATAAAAACCTACGACACTATCTAGTCTGTCACACTGCTCACGTTTAATTATTGTTGCAACGACAAACCAAAGCGCCTGTGCAGCGGTGAGTAAGTATAACATATATAATGTCTAAACAGATGACATGGTTAGCATTACGGTTAGCACGGGGCTAGCGCGCTGCCTACCAGCAAAGCATTTTGTATTGTGATACTCAGCGATAAGGCCTTGTTATTAATGGCTTGTATCTGCAATGCATCTTAGTATTTTTATGGGGCACAAATATCAAGCAACTACGTGAATGTGTAAGATCAGTATGTTTAGCGCGCTAACCTTTGCTAGCAACGTTATTGTGATCTCGGCGGGTTATAAAACAGCATCAAGTAACTTTCCTGTTTACTGCGGTTATGTGTCACACAGGTCGCAGTTTTTAACAGGATTTTGAAGACCATGACGTCCACATAGTGGGAGAAGCAGAGCAGCATCATGGAGTTCACTTCAGATGAGGAGGGAAGTCAACTCACAACCAATGTCGTCGATATGACCACCAGTGAACGGGTAAGCTGTCTGCAACCTAATAATGCATGAGTGAGTTAGATCTGGGGTTATTTGGGGTAATGCGATCTGTAACGATTCAGGCTGAGATCGTTTAGAGATGAACCTATCGGTGACTTTGGCATCGGTCCACAAACATCCTCACTGCATTACTTCTATCTGGCTGATGAAGCGTTGGCATGTTTTTCTTGAGGCTGCATACAAAGGACACATTAGCAACACAAGTGTCATGGTCGACTCAAAAGAGAATTACCTAAACGTTGTATTCTCAAAATAATGAGGTGGAAATGTTGAGTCGGCAACATTGCTAATGAATCAGGTTGCCTTCTCTATGAAGGTGATGTCTGAAGGTGATTAACCTCGTATATTTCTATGGTCTGCTAGGTTGAACCAAGGGCAATAACATGTGTTAAAAGAAATTCTATTCTCAGTTAATGTCCCTTTAATTTCTACTGAATTGTGGCACTGTTGTTCTAAACAGGGCCCACTATGACACACTGTGGAAAGGGTTGTTTTTTTAAGATGATTAATGTAAGTGGAAACTCTGTCCAGTTTAAAGTTAATCTCAATAATTAGTGTTTAGTAGAAATGATTGAAAGCAGCTGTTACACTTAACACGTTTACAATATTAGAATCAGTATGGTTTTGGTTAAGGTGCAGCCAGACATCCATTTCCATGTAATGTGACTACACACTGTTGTGTTTTGCCTGTAAAGCGAAAAGTTCATTCAGTTTGCTTGTCCTGTTCCAGGTGGTGGATCTGCTGAACCAGGCTGCCCTGATACCCACAGATGAAAAGCTAACGGTGCTCAAACAGGTTTGTAGTCTGTTTATTACATTTTTTTTTTTTATTGTCTTCTTATTTAGTTTGTTGTTAAATTGATTGTTTGCTGGTTGTTCTGTTGTACTTTTTGTCAGTGTTGTGTCTTGAACTGCTCTGTTTTCCATGTGCTATATGAGGCAAACCACAGTCCTATGAAGCAGAAAGTCGATGGAGAACAATACTGAATCAATGAACTTTATATATGTTTCAGGTCCAGGAGCTCATCATTAACAAGGATCCCTCTCTTCTTGACAATTTCTTGGATGTAAGTACATCTGTATGCAGCTCCCTTATATAACTGTTGTTTGACCTGAAGTAAAGCTATTTGAATGCATCAGCTGTATTCAGTATAAAAGGGCACATTGTGCAGTAGACTTATATCGACATTATAACATTTAAATTCATAATTCTTCTTCCATTCATCCTGTAGGAGTTGATCGCCTTTCAGACTGACAAGTCTATCGAAGTGAGAAAATTCGTCATTGGCTTCATAGAGGAAGCATGGTGAGTCATTAGACAGACAAGTCTTCTTCTCGTGGTTCTGAATCACGTTTGTGTTTTGCAGGTATCTCAGTCTTTCTTTTCAATGGTTTTTGTTTTCCAGTAAAAGAGACAATGAGCTCCTTCTCAGACTGGTCGCCAATCTGAACATGCTGCTGAAGGATGACAGTGTGAACGTGGTGAAGAAAGCCATCCTCACACTCACCCAACTCTACAAAGTTTCACTGCAGGTAAATACATTCTCACTTACATATTTGGGACTGCCGTGATGTACCCAAAGAGTAAATGTTGTAGATGTGATGTAGTCTGTTTTTTTTTTTTTCATAGGAATATACAACAAAATCAAGTTACTACTACCGGTATCTGTTGCCTTTTTCAAACCCTTTACTTCTGTCTCTTCCTTGCCAGTGGTTGGTGCGCTCTAAGGCAGTATCAGAGAGGCAGGAGGCATGCTGGGATCTGGTCACACAGATGAAAGGAGATGTCCTGGCCTTACTGGACTCCGAAAATGACGGCGTTCGCACTCACGCCATCAAGTACACAGAGTCGTTAATCATCACTCTGTCGCCGCGGACGTCAGACTCTGATGTTCCCAAGCGACAGGAGAGTGACACCAGCCTGGACAAAGTTCCCAGAGATCACTCGTACATCCGCTACGGTAGGTTAGAATCCTGCTCTGTGGACATAAGGTGTTAACATGTTGTTGTTTTTTTTAAACTGATATCTTGATGTTGTTGGAATCAACAGATGTGTTGTGTGAGGAGGGAAAGACTGCACTGGAGAAGCTGCTGAAGTTCATGGTCCATCCGGCCATTACCAGCATTAACCTCACCACAACACTTGGCTCCCTGGCCACTATCGCCCGCCAGAGGCCAATGTTCATGTCAGAGGTGGTGCAGGCATATGAGACGTTGCATGGTAAGTGCTTCTCCGCCACAACACCATTTAAATACAAGTGTTGTGCCAGGTTAATGTTGACAAAAAATATCTTTTGTGTTTTGCCTTTGTAGTGCAAATCTTTGTGCTCAATACATCATTATTTGACTGTATGTCATATTATATTAAATGCTATTTTTCTTCTTTTTTCCCCCCACTGTATACTTGAACCTTTTTAGCAAACCTGCCACCCACTCTGGCCAAGTCTCAGGTCAGCAGCGTGCGAAAGAATCTGAAGCTGCACTTGGTGGCGGTCCTCAAGCATCCCTGCAGCCTGGAGTTCCAGGGTCAGATCGGCACTCTGCTGCTGGACCTGGGAATGCCCCAGAGTGAAATAACCCGCTCTACTCCGGCACCACGTGAGCAGCGCAAAAGGCCTCGCCATGAAGAATACACAGAGGGAAAAAAGGTCAAGATGGGTGAGTAGATGCTAGCAGTCACATACATTTGATTTAATTTATATATATATATACTTACTATATATATATACTTACTATATATATATACTTACTATATATATATATATATATATACACACACACACACACCAAAAATCTTCAAATCGGGTCAACCAAGCCTGCTGGACATGAGTATTTTTTTTTACGTCTGTTCATTTGCATTCAGAGCCGGCCCTGATTGAGGATGACGAGGACAAGGAGGAGCCAGCCCCGCTCTCGGTTCCTAAACCAGCTGCTGTTCCAGTAGCACAGTCTGCCATTGACCTCACAGCTGAGTTCCTGCACCCGCTGCTCTCCCCAGAGAATGTAGCCAACCTGGTGAGCAGCAGCGGCCCCTTTTGTTTTTACCAGTTTTATTTCTCTCCTTTTAAGCCCGACTGTGTGACAGTTCAGCTTATATCTCTGTCTGGTTGTTTAGGTGCTCATCAGCATGGTGTACCTGCCTGATGTCATGCCGGCATCCTTCCAGGCCACATACACACCTGTTGAGTCAGCTGGCACTGATGCCCAAATTAAACATCTGGCCAGGTTGATGGCCACGCAGATGAGTGCAGCTGGGATTGGTCCAGGTTAGTGAAAAAGACGTGCAGCACAACAAGGTTGTTTTGTTTTGTTTTTTCGCTCTAATTAAAAAACATGATGTCTTAGGACTTGAGCAGTGCAAAGCCAGAGAAGACGATGCAGTGAAGTGCGAAGGCAACGACGAGGACCCTGCTGCTAAAGACCCGTTCATCAAGCGCAAAGTTCCAGCTGTGATGTTGGGACAAGCCATCTCTGTGGTGGGAGGTTACGAAAAAGAAAAGACTCCACCCCCAGAGGCTCCCGTCATAGTCAAGAGGCTTCCCGAGCCCATCCTTCCTACGGGACAAACCAAGTGAGTTCTGTTTCCAACACAAAGATGGCAGTGAAAGTATCGTAAGCCTTTGGTTAAGTCAGACTTATCACCCTGCACGATTTTGTTCTGTCACAGAATGGCGGGGCCAAGTGGGAGAAAAAAAGTGTTCCGCTTGTCCGATGTCGTCCAGCCTTTATCAGACGCCGAGATCGAAAAGTTAACCTCCAAAGCGGTCAGACGCATCCTGCATTCCGAGAAGACGATTGCTCAAAGCGGCATGTCCCACGTAAGTAATCACCACCTGGTTAATCTCTCGTTTCCTTCGTAACGATTGAGTTGCACAAAACAAGGGCCTGTTTCAGAGCACATAACCACAGCAGATGTGTTTGGCAGGTCAGAGTGAAGCTCCTCTCCAAGCTCGTGACGCAGTTCAAAGGGATGATGAAAGAAGACGTGCTGCAATTTATTCTGGATGACATCAGGACAAGGAGTGACCTGGCCTTTGCGCTCCTCTACCAAGAGTACAACACTTACCTCAGCCACCTGCCGACCGGGCAGCTGGACAGCTACGACCACTGTCTTTACACTCTGCTGTCGGGCCTGCAGGAGAAACCCGAGCAGAGGGATGGGTGAGACTCTAGCTTTTATTTAAAAGGGCAATGTGTAAATCCTTACATCCTAGGTGGCAGCATTTTACCTCCAGCACAGGGTCCCATTGTCAGCCAAAACCGAGTCACATTTTGTTCCCCCCCATTCTGTCTCTTCCAGACTTTTCACCAAGCTGGTGCTGGAGGCTCCCATTATAACCGAGTCAGCGCTGGACGTAATCCGACGCTACTGCGAGGATGAGGTACGTGACATGATGAAGCAGCTTTTGCGTGAAGAGCCAGTTCCCTGCATGTCCACTCACCTGTTTGTTGTGACCTTTTTTGTTTCAGTCTCGGGTGTATTTGGGCATGACGACTCTGAAGGAGCTTATTGTCAAGCGGCCCTCGAGGCAGTTTCAGTATCTGCATGTGCTTCTGGATCTCAGCTCACATGAAAAAGAGAAGGTGATGACATATCTTGTGCCAGATCCTATTCACACCCTCTTCTGTGGTGGTCATACATTTCAACGACTGTGTCTTTTATGTTCAGGTGCGGACCACTGCCTTGGCTTTTCTCAAGCGTATGTATGAGAAAGACCATCTCAGGGACTACATTGAGAAGTTTGCCCTGAACTACATGCAGCTTCTGGTCCATCCCAACCCTCCATCTCTGCTCTTTGGGGCTGACAAAGATACAGGTTTGGGATTATGTCAATGCTCTCTTTTTCAGGAACGCCCTGATCACATTCACACCTGGAAGCTTGTACACAAGGACAAAAACAATAGTTTGAAATTAATTTGTTTTTTTATTGTTTTTTATGTTGTAAATTTGATTACTGTAGGTTATTAAACAAAATTCACCATGACAGACAGAGGAGGAAGGACATTTCGTGAGATTTTCCAGCCTCAATTTTCCCTGCCAGACAAAAAAATACTAAGTTGCAACTCCCATCTTCTTAGTCCACTACTGTAACGTGTGTGTGTGTGTGTGTGTGTGTGTGTGTGTTTGTGTTTGTGGGGACAGAGGTGGCTGCCCCATGGACTGAAGAGACCGTGAGACAGTGTCTGTTCCTCTACCTGTCCCTGCTGCCTCTAAACCACCGATTGGTCCACGAGCTGGCATCAGTCTACACCGAGGCCATCGCTGACATCAAGCGCAGCGTGCTTCGAGCGATAGAGCAGCCTGTAAGTTCACCGTTCACTGTTGGCATGCCCTCACTCTGACATACATGTGTCTTTTGAGGGATGCTCCTTTTTGTCTTCTCTTTGAACTCTCATCAAACAACTGGATAAAAGGAAATACGCTCTCTGAGTTCCTACTAATGACGAGGATTGATTGGTTCTGCAGGTGTAAAGGTCATCTGATAGCTAACCGTTCTGAATGCCTGGAAAGACCAGCATGACAAATTTAACAGGGCAAAGGCTGGACTATTGGACTACATGTTTATCTATTTCTTCATGTGTTTTTCACTTGTTTCATCATAAGAGAAGGTAATCTAGAGCAAACGTAACACGGTGCAGCTTCCTTGCTCTCTTCCAGAACAAAAAAACCCCACAATGAAGTTGAGACAATACACCTGTAGTCTCACACCTGTGATTTAAAGAAACTAAATTACTCAAACATGGACTTATATCAAGCAATGCTCCTCTTAAGTTGTGCTGTCTTTGAGTGGTATTGACAAGTTTTCACCCTCGTTATAGATCCGTGGAATGGGGATGAACTCTCCTGAGCTGCTGCTCTTGGTTGAAAACTGTCCTAAAGGGGCAGAGACTTTAGTGACCCGCTGTCTGCACATATTGACTGATAAAGGTAAAAAAAAAAAAAAATCACTAAAAACTGCAGCCTTACATGGGACAACGGCACAATAGAGGAAAGTCCAGGAAGTTGAGTGTTGATGTTTAAAACAAGTCTTCTTTTCCTGCATTCAGTGCCTCCATCTCCAGAGCTGGTGGAGAGAGTGCGAGACCTTTACCACAAACGAGTGCCAGATGTTCGTTTCCTAATTCCAGTCATTAATGGCCTTGAAAAGGTTAGGTTCTGCAACTCATCCCAATAGTCTAGTAATCAGCTTTCGTAATGTAATGTTTAACACACTGCAAACATCATCATCAACACATTCCAATATTCTGAATGTCTCATCGTTCACAAAATCAAACCGCAGATGACGTCAGTACATCCTGGTTATCTTGCCGCTGCATGATAATCAAAATGATTTCTGTCATTTCTCTTCTCGTATAGAATGAAGTCATCCAGGCTCTCCCCAAGCTGATCAAACTCAACCCGATTGTAGTGAAGGAGGTGTTCAACCGTCTCCTGGGCACTCAGCACAGTAAGAGTCTTCTTTTGACTTTAAGAACCCTGTTCACACTTTCAAACACGTTATCATCAGCTTGTATTGATTTTAACGTGTCAATAAACAACAACTGCTGTCGTAAAGACAATGTGACCGCACTCAGAGACAACTACTATTGACAAATTTAGCAACTCATTCAAACCATCGAGGAAAAAAGCAAGAAATGTATTCGAATATGTTCTGTTGAAATTCATTCCCACGGCTTGGAGGAATCGCGGTCCACAGCTCTTCCAGGGTGTTCTCACTGTTGTGTTGTCTTTCAGGTGAGGGAAGTTCATCCGTGTCCCCTCTCACCCCCGGAGACCTGCTGATTGCCTTACACAACATAGATTCAACCAAATGTGATATGAAGTCCATCATTAAAGGTCAGTGTTGTGTTCATTGATGTGTCTGAACAGCAGCTGGTGCTTCAGTCTGTGGTTCCTCTTATCTTGGCAATGTTGCCCCTGATATATCACTTTTATATTGAATACATTTTGCCAGGTTTTAGAATTTGACTGTAGCAAGAACCACCAAATAATTACAATTTATTCAGGTAAGCCATTATAGGGACTTTGAAAAAAAAAAAAAAAAAAATGTTTTTTGAGATTTTGTGACTCTTCACTTGAACCCAAATTGCAGGCAGTATAATAGCACAACTGTATAATGGGTTGAGGCCTGTAATATAATTAAAAGCATGCTTGGCCGAGCCCCCGATGACCTTCTTCAGTGGTTAATTGATCAGTTCCTGTCGCGTTGTACGACAGCTGACAATGAAAATGTTCTGCGCCTGTACTACAGCTACCAACCTGTGCTTTGGGGAGAAAAACGTGTACACGTCGGAGGTTTTGGCGGTGGTGATGCAACAGCTGATGGAGCAGAGTCCCCTCCCCATCCTGCTCATGCGTACCGTCATCCAGTCCCTCACCATGTATCCGCGACTGGGAGGCTTCGTCATGAACATCCTGTCCCGCCTCATCGTCAAGCAGGTCGGCACCAAACTCCAGCCAAATATTCAGGCTTTCTTCAGTCATTGATATATCTCTCTATTAACTTGTCAAATATGTTTTTTTTTCCTGTAGGTGTGGAAGTATCCCAAGGTGTGGGAGGGATTTGTGAAGTGCTGCCAGAGGACGAAGCCTCAGTCGTACAGCGTGCTGCTACAGCTGCCGCCCGCACAGCTGACGAGCGTGTTTGAACGCTGCCCGGAGATGAGAGAGCCTCTTCTGCAGCATGTCCTCTCCTTCACACCTCATCAGGTAAGAGCTCTTTCCACTCACTTAACACTGAGCCTCATTAGCAAATACGTTGTAAAAAACGGAATTCTACTTCTCTTGGGATTTCTTCATGTACCAACTGCCTCTGTTCTTCTGTGCAACAGCAAGCTCACATACCTGCCTCCATCATGTCGGTCCTGGAAGTGCATAAACAGCCAGAACCAAAACCTGTGGAGCCTGTCGTGGAGAAAGAGGTAACTGATGAGGATATGAATATAATTCATAAGGCCTCTTTCCAATATTGCTGGTCATTTCGCCAATTCTTACCTAATGTGTCCATGTAGAAAATCATTGTAAAAATCGAACGATCTCATTATTATTCACAAGTTGTTGTCGTATCCTTCTTTCTCTTATCACACAGATGGAACCAGTTCCTGCCCCAGTTGAAGAAGAGGCTCCCACTGTGACACTGGAAAGGTCAGAGACGCCAGAGCAGCAACAACCAGCTGTCACGAAAGATGAGGAAGAACCAATGGAGCAAGAAGAGCCCGCTCCAGTGATACAGGAGGAAACTGTTGATACTGTTTCCCAGGCAAGTTACAATGTCATTTTTCTCCTCTTTTTACATGTTTGGAATTGTATGAAGTAGACCAAATTAGACCTTTCCGTCTGTAGTTGCATGTTAAATGTGTATGGCTCAGTGGCAATTAAACATCTGAAAGCCTACACGGCCTAGTAGAGACACAAACAGGATAAATACATATGGTTGAATGCCTTTAAGCCTGAAAAGTAACAAGATTATTTGATTTACGTGCACCGTAATCAACAAAACACTACTCTATGCGGCCCCAAATTATCAATGAACTTAATTGTATCATAAAAAATGTGTTTTTTACAATCCACGATTGAATAAAATAGTTTTGGCCTGATATCAGATTTTTGATTCTCTTCAGGAGTTGACAAGAGCGGAAGAGACACAATCGCCTCAACCAGAGCCAGTTGAGGAACCGATGGAGGATTCTCAACCTGAACCCTCAGACCTCCAGGAGCCTGTGAAAGATGTTGAAGCTGACGTCACAGAACCCGAGGCTGGAAGCGGCAGCGAAGATGTAGAATGACTGCTGAAAATATATGCACTATACACAATTCTCGCCTTTTGCAAACATCCCACAGATTTTTAGAATGTCTTGTCAAGAAAATGCTCTTTATTCTTTTTGTATTTGTAGAAAACAGATTTTGAGGAGGGGGGGGTGATCAGGAATAGCTGTGTATGAATTCCATATGCATCCATGTGACGACTTAAAATAAATCAATGAAATGCTGGTTTACTGTCTGCTTCAATTCTGTTTACTCCATTACTTCCCTATAGTTCAGCATGAATATGTTAATTATTACATTTCAAACACAATGGATAGCAGTGTTTGGTTTTGAAAGACTTTTTGGTGTGATGAGTAGTAAGTATGTACGCATTAATGGAAATGCTATTTTTTTTATGGTGCCAGAACAATTACTGTTAACCTGCAGGACATGGATGTGTGTATTTTAATGTGTAACTAAAAGGTATATTTTTTTCATATTTTATAAAGTTAATTCATGCAGTAATTTTACGCATGCTGGTCTTTGTGTCACGTTGAGTATCGAATAACACAGAATATCCTCACATTTTGATACTGCTGGATTAATAGTTGTGTTCTTCCATAATACTCGTGCTAACAGGCCTGACAACGTTTTTAATGATAGATATTGTTTGACCACTGGCCCCTGTGGTTAATCGAAACATGTTTTTCCTGTGAAATTTCCGGGAAAAAAGCTACATTTTATTTTGGAAATTGCAACCGGAAGTGCTTTAAAATATATGTCTCGCGTAGCCAGACTTGATTATCGCGAGAGAGGAGTCCGCTAGGTAACATTGAATAACTTGAGTGTCGGTTCTTCCGGTTCAGACTATAAATGAAAGCTGTGATTCTCGCCGCCGGCTACGGAACCAGGCTCCAGAGGGATGTGGTGGCCGACAGCAGTGGGAGGTTCGCTCACCTGGTCGGGACTGCCAAGCCGCTGCTGCCGGTGGGAGGGTGTGCCTTGATCTCCCACTGGGTCCATGCTCTGACCGCCTCTGACTGTGTGGACTGCATCTATGTTGTTGTAAGTAGCAGAGTGAGTACCTATATGCGTTTACAGGAACTGTTCTTAAGTGCATGTACTTTTCATTTTGTGCACTTTATAGCCATCTTGTATTCCAATAACCTTTAACTCCACAGACTACATTCATCTAACAGTTTCCAAAAACTGTGCATAGTTGAGTTTACAGACAAAACAAGATTATAAGATCTGATGCATTGTTAAAAATAATCTACCCAACAGTGTATAAAGTAGTTTAAATTAGCCTTATCCTATGTTAATGCACCAATAATATAATAATATGTAATGACTCTCTAAAAGGAGCAATGTTGCATAATGAGTACTTTTTCATTTATTATTATTACATGTTGCTTAATCATACCAATGTGTTTGATCAACCAAAACAGACTGTTTGCATTGTGGACCAGGGCTGATGTCCATCCCTAGTATACAAGTCCATGAGCTGAGAATGAATGAGCCACTCTGTTACTTAAACCCCCCCCCTCTCTCTCCACAGACTAACGCTGTTTACCTTGCTGCTTTTGAAGAGTGGGCATCACATTTCACAAATGTCAAGATTCTCAGCGATCAGACGAGAAGCAATGATGTAAACACATGTTTTCACCATCATAACGTATTGTTGACATGTTTTGGCCCTCAGACAGCAGACTTTTTTTTATACCTCTCATCTAAGCTCCTCATCTCTTACTCCACCAGGGGCGTCTTGGTGCTGTAGCCTGCCTGCAACTTGCAGTAAAGCACTTCAACATAGAAGACCATGTCCTCGTAATTGGGGGGTGAGTGCACTCAGTTAACATTATCAACACTACTCTGCTGAGTTCTTGTGCAAAAATTCATGTCCAGATTCTGCCAAACGCGTACAACTCCCCTTTTCCATCCATTGCAGTGACACCCTGTTCAAAGAGGATTTTAGCCTCAGGGGAGTAAACGAGAGGTTTTCTGACCTCCAAGCAAAGTGTGAGGCCAGCTGCCTGGTGCTCTCGTACCAGTGCAGAGAGCAGGGTGAGTGGAAGAAGTTAGGCTTTAATGAGCACAACCGTGTGGAAGCTTGTCAAGCAAAGGAGTGTGTCTCATCCTAAAACATGGCTGGGCCTCGTGCTCACAGTTGGTTCTATATTGTGTGCCTGTACAGAAACTCGTAAATACGGGATATTGGAAGTAGACGGCGATCTCCGCGTCCTCTGTATGAAGGAGAAACCTCTTCCTTCTGAGACGAAGTCGAGGAGAGCAGTAAGTTCAGTAGGACTGCCCAATGCGATGACTATCTAATAGATATGTTGTTTTCTGTATTCACACAGTTGGTGGTTACTGGTATTTTTATATGACACCCAACATGTACAGTATACATCTACACTGCATATCTTTGGAGCTAATAACTTTACCATTTGTTTTTCAGTGTCCATGTTTCTATGTGTTTTCAAAGAAAAGCATTCCTCTGTTGGACACCTTTCTGGAGGAAAAGAAGGTACATTTAATAATTTAATAATCAAAAGTACAATGTGTGATGTGATTTAAGTAAATTGTTTTATTTTTATTCGACTACTCAACTCTGTGTCCATAGGAGGCTCCTATTGAGGAGAAAGATGCCCCAGGGAACTTTGTGTCTTGGCTCATTGCGAGGTAATGTCTGCTGGGATCAGCAACGTAATCCAAATCAATTTGTAATCCTGCTTTGTGGCGACCAGCTGGTCCTCTTTTTCTTTTCAGCTTTTCCATACATGTAAAATGATGTACTCAGCTAAAACTAATACTTTAAAAATCAATTTGTCAGTGTATTTCTCAATAAACTTTGTTTCTTCTTTTTTTTCCACTTTCAGAGAGCCAGTATACATTCATCAGATTTCGGGGCGTTTTGATGTTGGAAACTTGCCGTCCTATATTGAATGCGACCTTTACTTCAGAGAGAAACTTCAAGATGTTGGGTCTTACATGGTGTAGACTAGAGGAATGAACAAAAACACCATAATTATTATGCAGTGTTAAAAAAATGATCCAAGACCAGCACGAAATAAATCAAATGGCCAAATTCAAGAATTGTAACTGTAAATAAGCCTTTAAATATGAATTGTAAGTGATTTTATAATGAATAGTTTCCATTAAAAGGATTTCTACATTCAAACCCAAGCTTCGTTTACTCAGTGAGGAGTCTTGTGCATTGGTCAGAGGCCTTTTCGTGGTGGGCCTCCATCTTTGCGATGCGGGAGCCAAACTGCATGGCTCTCTTGGGCAGGACGGCTGATTGGCCGAGGCCCAGCTGCTTCGCCGTCAGTCTCAGGAGGAGTTTCTCCCCGAGGCCTCGAGGAAGTGACAGGTCGGCCTTCTCCCACACGGGCAGAGAATTCAAGTGGCTCACCACGTCCTCGTCCAAGTAGGGAAACCTGAAGACCGTTAGAAGAGTCAGTTACTCTGCCCTGAACAATGGACGTGAATGGGATTTCTTCAAACTTACAGCTTTACGCCTTTTACCCTGCTGCACAGCCACAAACACTACTTCCTCTGTTCCATTAGGCTAAAGTCTAGAAGCCTGTCTTACACCTATTTAAAATGATCTGTCAGAGCGTGGGTTAAGGACAATTTTCCTGCTTTGTCCTGCTTTGTCCTGCTTCTTACTCCACCTGAAGTAAACAGTCTCCTTAAATCAGAAAACAGCTTGCCATAAATAAAGTCGTAAATAAAAGGAATGATGACTGAATTCCATTCGGCTGCTTCAGTTTCAGGGTCCTGGTATGATTCATGCTGGTTTGCTGGGACACTTATGTAGAACGTAGCCATCGTTAATGTTATTAATAACACCTGCACTTTCCCTCCAATGATAAGACAAACTGTCTTATCATTGCGGGGGGGGGTACTTGAAGCGGACACCACACTTACCGAGCCTCTTTCCCATGGTCCCCGATCACTCGGTCATCTCTGCCCAAATTCCTGGAAGGGATCCTGTCCAGCTCCATTTCCAGTTCCTGGATCAGCCCCTCGTGTCCAGACATTGTAAATCGGACTCTGTGTCTGGAGTAACCCGCTAGCTGCTCATCCGCGCCGATTCCCGTCAAAATGACCTGCGGTCATGAAACAGTAACACAGAGAAGCAGGTCAGTGTGGCGGTTGAGGAGTGGGAAACACATCTCCACTCAAGACATTTTTAGTTGAGTTAAGATACGTCGACTAATCGATAGAGCTCAGAAGCTTTAACGTCTGACTTTTGTACCTCACCTTTGCTGATGAGGTGAAGGGCCTCTGGTCACCGTCCTCCATGATGAGCCCGGTTCCTCTTGCTGCGAACCACACAGCGCATCCAATGCTGTCATCCAGCACCGTATCCAGCGGATGCACCAAGTGGCAAATGCGCTCCTGGCGGATCTTCTGCAGCTCCTCCTTCGTTACATTGATTTCCACAAAATTCCATCTTCTTTCCGGATTCAAGTCTTGCAATTCCTTGAGGCCAGCTTTCCCAGTGATTCTGTCTGGAACGTCAAAGGGGCCGGATGTTTGGGGGTCGGCTCCATCGGCCTGAGAATCCGTAGGCTTATTTTTGTGCTTTCCGGATTTCTTCGCAGACTCTTTCTGCTTCTTTGGCACCTGTAGTTTAAACGCTACGTTCAGAAGGTCTATTGGTTGATGGGCGGGTATGTGACGGTCAGCTAAGGCAGCCAAGATCATAGAATCGATCCCTCCCGAAAAGAGTATGGCGACACCAGCAAGTTCATTAGAAGAAGGGGAATTGTCTTGTGCCTCGAACGGCAGAGACTGAACACGTCGCCTTACGGCCTCGCTGAGAACACCGATGAGACGGTTCACTGCGTCGTTTTTCTCTTGGCTTGCAAGCAGCCGCTCCAGATGCTCAACATGCGAATGTGAGTTTGGATGAATTTCTTCATTTAACGACTTCGGGGTGGATGTATTGAGAGGGCGCACGGGCGAGGCGAGTGCGAGGCCTGACTGGTTCATCACAGCAGTGCAGCCGCTGGGCACGGACTCCAATACAGTTGGACTGCAGCTCGAGACAAGACCGCTTCCCCCGCGAGCCCAGGGATAAAGCTTGAACGTCACAGAGCCAGCTTGTGTCACTGCCTTCAGGTCAATCCTGTACACACCAGCTGCTGGGACTTCCCGCCAGGCAGATTGAGCAGGTCCACGTCCAGATTGGCGGGCTGCCACAGAAGTCAGAGTCAAGGTGTTGACCTCGGCGTCGAATTTCCACAGCAAACTCCGCCTTCCAAGGAAGTCTCTGCCAAACCAGAGGTAGTCTCCAGCCTTTTGGTAATACACGAACCCCCACGGTCCCCGTACGGCGGACAAGACGGACAGGATCTCTAAAGGGCCGTCACAGGACGATAGCCGCTCAGAGAGAACCGCGGTGTCATTTTCCTCCGGCATCACCGGGAGACCGCCGAAAATCTCCCCATTCCACAGCAGAACATTGCCGGTGTCGTCTCGAACGGGCTGAGGGGTGAGAAGCCCTCTCAAGTGGAGAACGTGGGCAGAGAACAAACACTGGTAGCAGGGATCTGTGCCTCCGACTGTGAGATCCTGGCTCAAGTCGGGCCCTCTTCTCCTCAAATGTTCATGAAGCGTTTTGTCCCACACACACCGAGTGGGCGACAGACTCAGCAGACAGAAGATGCCGCACATTGTTGTGATGAAGGTCAGTCTTACATATCCTGCAGGTCCTTTTTCATGTTATCGAGTTCCTCTGGGGAAAGAAAATATCATCGGTTGATATGATGCTTTATGAGCAGATTTTCAGTGAGATAGACACGTACCAGCTAGTTTATCTATTCAAATTATATTCAATTTACCGCTATCAACTTACTTTTACATGAACCCAGTGTCTGACTTCTGTCTGCTAGGAAGAAGATGTTACTATTCCTCTGCTGGATGTAGACTTTCTGAGGGGGGGCGGTAAACATATACAAAATGTACATTAATACACAGAAATGTACACGTTCCTGAGAAAAGAATTTCAAAGAACATGGCGTCTTTGAAGTTGCGTCCAACAACACAGGAACAAAAGTTTGACTAAGAAAGTTCCAGTTTGCAAGGCATATAATCACATATAAATAAATAAATATGTAATTTCCAGGTATTAGTTGGCTCCACTCACCCTGTTCTTCTTCAGATTGGAGAGCTCGTCCAGAACAACCTTCTGCTCCTTTATCTGTAAATGATCAACACGAACTATTTCACTGACCTGATGAAATGTAAACTCTGTAGTGTAATGTAAACGTGTATTAACGTGTAACTTACACCCCGATAGGAGTAAACACTGCAGCTCAGCATTGATATCGTGCTAACGTTACATGTTTACCAGCTAGTATTTGTGGCTAACTTTACCTTTTTGTTCAATTCCTCCTTAAGAGCCGACGGTCCTTCAAAAGTATCTTCGTTGTCGCGAACTTTCGAAGACATGTTGGTTAAGTTGTTGTGTATGAATGTAGTTGAAGCTGGCTAACTTCAGTGTAAACATGCTCTGCAGCTTTGACAGCTCTTCCGGGTGCGGTGGTTTGTCCTGTTGTGACTGCACCGCCCCCTAGAGGTGGGCGGATGATACATATATTATTTTTTTCTCATTTTTTAGAGATTCTAGACGTAAAACTATTCCCATTTACCCCGGATTACATACTAAAAAGAGCACAAGCCACCACATTACAGCTAATTAATGCACAATTTAAATGCAAACTAAACGATACATAAACAGATCGGGCGTCTTGTTTTATACAGTCCCACTCCTCACATGTCATGTTGTGTGTTGCTGATACTGAACAGAAGAGGATTAGGGTCACATTTACATTTCTGATTTTAATCTCTGAAATTCTGGTGTAATCTGACCTAATTTGTCCCTAATCCTTTTCAATAACTTTGTAATGGTTTGTAGCAATTGTTTGTTTCTGAAATAATTTTTATTATTTCTCTGTGGACAGTTTGATGCATTCTTCCATAGTACAAAGGTTTCCAGATATCTATAAAATATTATATATATTCCAAGCAGTGTAATTTAGGTCTCTGACTAGTCTATGACATTTGTATCTTTTATCTCCGATAGATCAGCCAAAACTACCATTTTAACCATTTTAAAATAAATCTATCAATGGGTTAATAATTTTGGTATTCTGTCTAGTTGAGCATTACTATACATCTTACAGACGACAGTCTTTTGACTAAATCTTCACCTCGTTCTCATCCTTTCTTCTTCTGTTTTATGTCTCAGTTCCATTAACATTTTCACATCAAATTGTAAATAATCATTTCGAGTATTTCAGATAACATGCACCATGTTTGCTACATTTCAATCAAAGCAAGCTCTTTACACTCAGTGACAACCTAACATTTGCACAAAGAACTTACTTCACATCAGAGTGGCATCATCTGCTTTATTACTTTATGATCTAGTTGGTAAAAGATAAACCGTTTACAGAGCTGTCACCAGGGTGCGGTTGCTTGAGTATCTCAACATGATGAAGGGGATGTTCCCACTGAGCCAAAGCAGATGTAATTTAAAATCACATTCACTGTTGAACAGCAGACAAAAATTCCATGGCATGATCTGAGCAACTCCATCTGAGGAAGTGTCAGCAAACATTTACATATGTCCACATCTGGCAGTTACAGAGCAACATGGTAATTTAAATTAAAAGTTGTGTTTGTGTCCACCTGATGACTGCAAGTCCAATATTAACCCTTTTTTAACTCTGTGTTTGGTCTCCAACGACTCCTGAGGGAAAATGTGTCTCTGCTCCACTATGTTCACCAGATTTCACAGATCGATTTTTCTCCATCTAGACAACATTACACCAGGTTCATTTTTTAAAGGGCGGTTTTGCCGATTTTTCTCCATCCAACCAAATTAGACCATAGAAATAACACATTGACGGCTTCAGCCCGTTGCTGCAATATGTCTACATTGCTGCAATATTGGACCGGGCAAGACTGGCTGGTAAACAAATACAAGTTAATGGGAGAGCTGTGTTTTTTTTCTGTATAAAAAGCACTATAACATTTATATTATTATTATTAGGCTGTAATCGCTGCTAGATGCTCAAGACATGAGTGTGTATGAAAAGGACCCTTTATATCTACACAAGCATTCCACCAGACTTGCAATGTCATTTTGCAGAATGCAGTCGCATTGACAACATACAAACTCCTTCCGGCTGCGGGACGCAAATAAATATAACTTAGGGTTATGCTTGTCGGTTCCAGTCATATGATGTTGTTGTTTCCACTAAGGTGGAACATTTACTCAGATGATAAGTGAAATAAGGAAACCAACCCTGTTGATTTAATATCACTAGGGTGTGTAGGAACAAAAAATTGGAATGAACTAAAAAGAGATCACTGTAAAACGAGTCACTTCAAAACACCTAAAGGGCTATACTTAAAATTGACACCGTAACATGATCTTGACATGGGTGGTGATTGGGGGAGGGGGGAGCATTGCTCATTTGATAAGGATGCAGGGATTTAAACTCGCAACCTTCCAGTCACATGTGGTACAATTACATTAAAATAGATATTTTTGAGGACCTGAGCTTCACTCGCCCGGCAGCGGTCAACAATATAGAGAAATTTCCCCGGATGACACAAATGTTGATCTTGCTCCAGCAGTGGGTCGAGCACCTTTCGAACCTGCGGTGTGAGAGACAAACACACCTGTCTGATGTTTCACCTTGGCTTGCAGCCCACTGAGCTGCAACGTTGTATTGATCGGACACAGCTGTCAGATGTTTACCGGTTCATTCCCTGGAAACAAGGGCTGTCATTTTGGGACAGGTGTCCATGTCATCACAGCCAGATAGTGACCTTTGATGTTTATTTTTCTCTGGTGGAGCTGTCAGGCACGCAAACTCTTAGGCCCCAGCCAGCGGTAGATATCCACAGAAACAATAAGACCACAACACTGTTGTGTTCCAAAAATGGGTAATGGTGATAGTTATAATCACTGTTCCTGTTCTATGGTCACTGAGATGGTTGGTAATCTCACTGTGTCCAGTATCATGAGATTTTGGGAGACCTCAAGAGCCCGGCTTTATTTATTCTATATATTGCTAAACCCAAGGGAGCAGTGCTGTGTTCCCTTTTAGATCTATTGCAACACATTCTTAGAACTCAGCACAAAGAGTGAACAGAAGCCGTGCATGAAGAATAGATGAATAATCTGACCCAGCCTCACGTCCACATCCTTCACACCCTCCCTCCACCTCTATCCCTTCTTTAGCTGTGGCTTGGAGGTGTCAGGCAACTTAAGGCCACAGGAGGCAAGTCATTCTCGTATTTTTGTCCTGGACGCACAAATATAGCCGACGTAAACACAGCTTGTTGTTGGATCCGGTCAGGGACACAGACATACCTGCAGGTCACATGGCCACAAAATGACACAGTAGCCGTCTGACCGCTGATGAGAGGTATCTGAGCCTGGCTGACACACTGGCCCACTAATAGTGCGGCAGGTAATCTGTTTGTACCAGCTCAATGTGTGCTGACTTTAAAACGGCTGAAAGCTCTCTGTGATCCCTGAATAGATCACAAAAGGATAGAAGTGCCTATTGTCATTGCTTGGCTCAAAATATGTGCTTATGTTCCTTGTAACTGTCAATTTGGCTCCCTCGTAGGATGAGATGGCACAGAGTATGTGTTGCTCTGGGCCGAAAAGAAACTAGTGCTAATCTATATGTGCAAAAAATAATAAGAAGCACACGTATTAGTAGCCCAGCGGCCATATGTGTTTTCACATATCATAGGGACGATATTTACAGTCGCTACTAAATGCTGAAATATTGTGATCATGTTGATCATGACTAACCACAGACACCAAGTCATTTTCAACGGAAGCCAGATACCTTGATGAAGCCGATGATGCCTAAAGCAATAGTTTGACATTTTGACAAGATTGATAGCACTCTCATGTCTGTACACTAAATATGAAGCTACTGATTCAGCAGACAGCTAGCTTAGCTTAGCATAAAGAATGGAAAAAGGAGTAAGCATCTAGCCTGACTCCAGACAAATAAAAACCGGAATAACAAAATTCACCGACCAGCCCCTTTAAAACTCACTAATGAACTCGCTATTGTTTGTTTGTTTGTTTAATCCGGACAAAACTGGAGAGTAAAAATGTTATGAACCACAATATTTCTTGTCCCGGCTGTCTCCGCTCGGTGTCAAATTCATGGAAATGACATTTTGTTTTAAAACCTCACTCATTATTACACATTTAGAGGTGTTGGTCGTGGATTCTGTTATCTTTGGACAGACTCAGACTAGCTGATTCCCCCGTTTTCCGTCCGTCCAGTCCAATGAAACTCCCAAAACACATCACTCGAGGATAGACGTGAGAATTCAGCGCTGACATAAGACACTGAGGGTCCCACTCGGCTGATAACAGGCTTTTAAAAGTCAACTGTGCATCCAGATGTACAGTTAAGAATCATATTAGCCATGTGCAAGTGTTTATTACTTTTTATGGATACGGGCCAAGGATCCCTCATCCATGCAGCCTGTAATTATAGCAGTGATTCTGTTCTGTTGACATAGGTGGACAAATGCAAGTCATCCAAATGTGTGATTTGTACACTGTTTTTACATTGTTCACTGCCACGCTCTATTGCAACAGCCATTTAGTAAACAGCTTCACCAGGTCAAGGAAATAATGACAGTCTCTGTTACCAAAATGTTCAAAACATCCAATTTTATTAATGTGTGTTGCGTGGCATCAAATGCTCAGGTGAGGTCATTTCATCTTTAACTCTTACAATCTCTTTAGTTGTTCTTTTTTACCACTCAAGTATTACTCAGATTCAGTTTACATATAAAATGAAAGTGCAGGATGTAAATGTAATTTCTGATTTGACTGTGAACACATCTAAAACATTTCTCCGTTTAAGGTGGAACTATTTTATTGCTCTGTCAATCCAACTGCAGCTCTACTGATATTGACCATAGTTTACTGACTTAAAAGAACAATCCATACATATCCATGTAGTGTTTATTTCTGTGCACTATTTGTGTAGTTTACATTATAAATTTCCAAAACAGGATTTAGATTCTCAGGATTTTTAGCATTGAATGTACCTTTTCTTACTTTGATTGATGCAATTTGATGGTTTGTTTTTAGTCTGTCATCTCTTTTAGTGATATTAAAAAATGTATTAAAACTGTTTTTTTCTTCTACGTCTGTTCTCTCTGTTTTTATGTGGTGAAGCTTTTACTCTGCCATCTTGAGCAGGACCCCCTTTATAAAAGAGATTCAAAATCTCAACGGGACTATCCTGGATAAATAAAGGTTAAATAAATAAATAAACTAATACAGATTTCATTTATTTTTGTATTGTTGTTCATTGGTGCTTTTTATTTATATAATATTGATATTTAGACCTTTTTTAACAATAAATTCATTTTCTTTCATTAGTTCCACTTTGACTGACTGCAATAGTAAAATGCCCTTACACATTAAAGCATCAGTTATAATATTAAAATGATATACTACATAATAATGTAACACTCTCGGGTGCCATTTTTCTGCATAAGTAGGCTACTTGATAGGCTACTCTGAATACATTTTCCCATCCACACTTACTACGTTACTGTTCACTTCTGCTTAAGTTAAGATTTTGGAAAAAAGACTTCCATAGTTTTACATTGTGGAATTGATAGTTATCATTTGTTTTATTGTTCTCATTACCAAAGGTAGAGATGTGAATAGAGTGGTGGAAGAAACCACTGCAGCGAGCAACTAAAGCAGGTCTTCAGGCTTTCAAAAAATAGGTCTGCCAGACATATCCTTTTGTTGTGATGAAGTGATAGGTTATCTTTGGTCAGCTGTTCATTGGAGTCTGTTACTCATCATTCCTGCTGAAAGAAACCCACAACCAAAAGCTCACCAACCACTGCGTAAAGAGGGCTAAAGGGGTTTAATCATGATAGCTACAACAATGACACTTTTTTTGTAATATGATACAGCTTCTTTTTTTTTTTTTTTCCGGAGCGCGCGTGCGGTAGGAGGACCACACTTGTTTTTGACACAATGTAAATAATGGCGCGTCACGTAACAACGTGAGTATATTCGAGGCGGGACGTAAACACAGAGCAGCAGAACAGAGCCAACCGTCCAGCGGAGCGGCGCAGGAATCGAGCTCCGAGCTTTGTGCTTATTTCATTGCGACTAATCGGCCCTTTAGGCTATAAAATATTGCTTTCCGACTTCAGCTACAGTGTTAGCTAAGTTTGGAAGGGAGAAAGGGGAGAGACGCGGTGGCTTTTTTGTTGTTGTTTTAGTCGTTATATCCGACAGTAGGAAGCCGTAGTCGGGGGGTCGACCTGCTCTGCAACAACACAAAAGAGGAGACAGCGTAAATAAAAAAAATAAAAAAAGGAACATTCACTTGGTTGCTTTTGCCATTTGGACAGCTTTAAAATGGATAACTCTGCACCTAAGAAGACGTGCTGTGGTAGGTTATTTCTTTCAAAACATGCAAAAATAATCGTATATTTCCCACGCCGAGCCATCACATCAATGGTGCAGGCTGGTTATCGACCACCAGCTGTATCGTGTTGACTCTATTCTGACCGTTCAATGTGTTTCTTCACAGAGTCTGTCCGAGACTTCTTCACTTCAGCTAAATTCCTTATTTACATGAGCCATGCTCTGTCAACATGGGTAAGTGACACGTTATGGTCCACTTGGATGACATTCCAGCATATATTTCTACATGTTCATCACGATGACAGGCTGCACAATGTGGCTTTTCATTGTGTCATTTATGACATTGTGACATGTGCTAAAATAACTGTTGCCTCAATACTAAATGACATGTTTTGCCCCGTGTAGCTCGCCACACATTCCTTGTCTTTGCAAATACCCCTGAAAGGATCAATTAAACTGAAGAGGGTGTTAGTTGACATGAAAGCAGAGAGGGCTCTTATTATTAATTCAAGCCACATTTCCCATCAGCCCTAACCTGGACGTCTCGAAAAAGTGACATCCAATAATCAGAATTTGTGTTTCCAGGGTGACCGAATGTGGAACTTTGCTGTGGCTGTGTTCCTGGTGGAGCTGTACGGGAACAGCCTGCTGCTCACGGCCGTGTACGGGCTGGTGGTGGCCGGCTCCGTGCTGCTGCTGGGGGCCATCATTGGGGACTGGGTGGACAAGAATCCCAGACTCAAAGGTAAGGCAGCGCACATCAAAGTATAGCTGCTGTTGAAGCGGTTGTTGTAACACAAGTTTGTCACCAATAAAAAGGCCCAAAACTTTGTCGATTGGATCCTGAGTGTGTAGATGTGGAGCTGGCGGGACTGGCATTATATGCAGTGTGCACGTGGGGCTAGTTCACCCTCATTTTCACAGTTAAGTGCACCTCTTGTGCAATGGTTATTCAGAGGAATTTGGCAAAAGACATTATTAGATTAGATCGGGGGGGGGGTTCGGGGGGCAGATGAACTAGTTATCGGACAGAAATCCGTTGTCTTTGATCAGATTTCTGTCCCTAATGTTCGTCGTGGTGTTTCCACAGTGGCCCAGACTTCGCTGCTCGTCCAGAACAGTTGCGTCATCGTGTGTGGGATCCTACTGATGGTTGTGTTCCAGTTCAAAGAGCAGCTTGCTGAGCTTTACAATGGATGGATTCTGGTAAGATCCCCCCTTATTCCGTGCTCACACACACACACACACTCTGTTACAACGTGATCTGATTGGTTTTCTTTTGACTGAAAGCAATTTCCCCCTTTTTCCTCAAGTACAACACTCTGACCTCGAGATTGAAAGTCGCTTGCTGTTACTGATATGGACACCTGCTTCCTTATCATTTATGACCACTTGAACCGCTTTTTACAGATGGGCGAAATGATCGTCGTTCATTTCCAGGAGACCTTTGACTGGTCCACTAACTTAAATTGTCAGAGTACATAAGAACACAGAGCACAAGAGGTGGTTACACTGTAGGAACAGAATGTTTGCGTGAGTGTCTTGCGCGCGGCTTGTTTGCACTTGTTGAGCTATGTGGCTTACATGAGGAAGCTCCCTCACCGCAAAGATTTGGACCTGCTTGACCGAGATGCAGAGCTGCAGGCTAGATGGGTTTCTGTCCGTCATTGGGAAACTGTGTCGGGCTGAGGTGCAGAGGAGGGGCGGTGAAAGAGGAGATGGGGTGTCTCGGTGAAGGCTGTGGAGTCAGCAGGTTCCTCTGCCCCGTCACATGACGGGGGGGGGGGGAATGTGGCCTGGCCTGTTGAAAGCATTCGCTGCTATACAATGTGAACATAGAGGGAAACAAAGAAGCCGGCCAGTGGGTTTCACAAATGAGACATTTCTAGAAGAAACATGTTTTGGGTTTTGTTTGTCAACCAGTGGTTCTTTATCACCGCTGTAGTTGAGGGCACGTGTTGAGTTATAATCTATGACAGAATGTCATCGATTATTTTCCACAGGAAGTCATTGATTTTAATAATAATAATAATAATAATAATAATGCATTCTATTTGTAACGCACTTTTCATGAAAAAAAAATCTCAGAGTGCCACAGAGCCAGTACATCGTAAAAAACATAGTTAAAATAACTAGTAAGCATAAAAAAAAAACCAGTGAATGAACAGAAACACAAAAGAAATAACTGACAGTGATTTAGGTCAGAAACGCCTTCCTGAATAAAAAGGTTTTTAGGCCAGTTTTAAAAGAGACCAGTGTCTGTGTTGCCCTTAGGTGGTCAGGGAGACTGTTCCATAGGCGTGGAGCTGCCGAGCCAAAGGCCCGGTCGCCCATGGTGCGGAGCTTGGTGTTGGGGACCCGGAGGAGCGAGTTGTTTGATGAACTGAAGGTGCGGGTGGAGTTTTGGGGAGTGATGAGTTTTTGTAGTTAGGGAGGTGCATGTCCATTTATGCATTTATGTGTGAGTAGTAGGACTTTGTAGTCAATCTGGAATGAGACAGGGAGCCAGTGTAGTGAGTGCAGAATGGGTGTTACATGTTCACACGTTACAGAATTAGAAAGGAGTCATTGTTTAACTTTAAGGTGTTTTCACACAATAGTAACTATATAATGGATGCAAAACTATATCTGTTGAGCAAAATTATGCATTTTTCTGACTTTTTTGCCTGTGAAATTCTGGAGATTCTTCAGCCCTCTAAAAATCCTTCAAAGGAACCAATACAACGAGGAACGAAAACACATGTTTGCTTAATTTTGAGGGGTCACAAGCCAAAAAGATCACTGACTACATCTTTAATTGTATTTCGGGCAGAAGGATGGTGTCTGTGGGATTGAGTCAAAATATACTAAAGTGTGTGTGTTTAATTAAGTAACATGTCCCCTAGTGCAACAGTGTCATGGCTCATTTATGTGTTTTTAATAACTTCTGGACAATAACGGAGGAATAATTATATATCAGGCTTTAGTTATACAGACAATAGTTATTAATCATATCCTTTAATATTGATCAAATGTAACAGTAACTAAAAAAAAAAAAAAAAAAATCCTTGTTTTCTTCTTCAGACCACCTGCTACATTCTGGTAATCTCCATCGCCAACGTTGCCAACCTTGCCAGTACGGCTACATCCATCACCATCCAGAGGGACTGGGTGGTGGTGGTGGCAGGTCAGGACAGCAGCAAGTTGGCAGGTTAGTGTTTTATTTTCTTAATCATGGAATGTAGGCTCAGCTGACCTGTTATCACGTCTCCTCTGTGTGGCAGACTTTGAACCCCGGATGCTGACTCGCTCTCGTTTTTGTACCTTTTATGCCCCCGGCTGTTTCCCCCGGATTGTTGTAAACTATTTCAAAGATTTGCTCACGTGGTGGAAAGACTGATGAACCTATGATGACCTTTTAATTTTTCTGCTGTGCTAGTAGTTCCATCCGTTTAGTAAAACCTCATATCATATGAATGTCTCGTGTAAATATGAAAGCTATGATATGTCACATTTCCTTTGACGTCCATCAGTAGTAATCGGGTGTAAAGAAACTGATAATATTGACTCTCTCGCATTGAACAGACATGAATGCCACGGTGCGGATTATCGACCAGCTGACCAACATCCTGGCTCCCATGCTGGTGGGCCAGATAATGGCCTTTGGCTCCCATTTCATTGGCTGCGGCTTCATCTCTGGCTGGAACCTGTGCTCCATGTGTCTGGAGTACGCGCTGCTGTGGAAAGTGTACCAGAAGACGCCGGCGTTGGCCTCCAAAGCCGGCCAGAAGGAGCAGCAACAGGAGCTCAGACAGCTGAGCTCGCCAAAAGGTAGCTGCAAGAACCGTGACTTTGATTTGTACCCTCTGAGTTTGGAGAGTTTTGGCCTGTGTGATGGTTCAGACTAAATACAACCATGTTTCTCTTCCCTTTCTCAGACTCGGAGAGCGGCCAGAGTCCTGAGGAGTCGTCTCAGCCACTGATGAATGAAACCTCCGTAGTGGCCACGCCCGACTCCCCAAAGCAGCACGGCTGCTGCTACCAGATGGCCGAACCGCTGCGCACCTTGAAGGCCGGCTGGGTGGCCTACTACAACCAGAACATTTTCCTCGCCGGTATGTCCCTGGCTTTCCTCTACATGACGGTGTTGGGCTTCGACTGCATCACCACGGGCTACGCCTACACGCAGGGCCTCAACGGCTCGGTGCTGAGCCTGCTGATGGGGGCCTCGGCGGTGTCGGGCATCTGCGGCACCGTCGCCTTCACCTGGGTCCGCAAGAAGTGCGGCCTGATCCGCACGGGCTTCATTTCGGGCACGGCCCAGCTGTCCTGCCTCATACTGTGCGTTGCCTCCGTCTTTGCTCCCGGGAGCCCCTTCGACCTCAGCGTCTCGCCCTTCCAGGACATTTACACACACCTGATCGGAGAGAAGGCGCTGCCCGAGGCCGACTACAGCCTCACCGGCTTTCTCGGCGGTGGAAACGCCACTACTGCTGCACCGGCTGAAGAGCTGCCGCCCTTGCAGTCCTACATGTCTGTTAGTCTGCTGTTTGCTGGCGTAATTGCTGCTAGAGTTGGTGAGTGAAATATTGCCCCTTGATGTTTGTTTGTGGTGGTGGTTATCTAAATACCGTGATATTGTATTTGATATTGTTTTGGAGCAGAGTAGAAGCTCCAAAGTGCATATAATCATTGATTGCCATTGGAGTAAGTGGTGCATAGTCTTTGTTTTATTGTTTTATTTAAAAGGAAATGAGAGTGCGTAGATATTATAGTGTCCATGCTTTATTGGCATGTTCGCCTCCGTTTATGAGATTGCAAAAAGGCTGTTTTTCCAAATTACGACTTCCTAAAAGTGACTCAAGCAGGTCCACAGGTTGAGCTTTTTCATAAGTAACCGGAACTTCACATGAGATCCTCTACGGCTGTGCCACTGATGTGACAGCAATATTTGCAACCTTTGATTCCAATAATATAGCCTGATAAGTCCCGCAACAGCTACCGTTGTCTCCTAAAGCGGTTAGAACGTGGCTCTAAAAAACACCAATCGGACTGACCTTTGATCTCTGTGTTGCAGGCCTGTGGTCTTTCGACCTGACGGTGACCCAGCTCATCCAGGAGAATGTGATGGAGTCGGAGCGAGGCGTGATCAACGGCGTCCAGAACTCCATGAATTACCTCTTGGACCTGGTGCACTTCATCATGGTGATTCTGGCTCCGAACCCGGAGGCCTTCGGCCTGCTGGTCATCATCTCCGTGTCCTTCGTGGCCATGGGCCACATCATGTACTTTGGATTTGCCTTCAAGAGCCTGGGCAGTCGCCTCTTCCTCTGCTGCTCTCCGGATCAGAAGGCGGAGGCGGTAGACGGCCTCTCACTTCCCACCACCGTCTGACCCCGTTAAAGAGACTCCGTCCTCGGTACATACTTCTCAAGCCTTACCCGACCCTTGCATCTTATCTTAACTAACATCTTTGCTTTGTAGCTGGCAGAATGCTAATGCTAACCACAGAGAGGTAACGTAACATGCTATGCATCCTGTAGCCATGAATACGCAGCATTAATCATGAGTAGAAGGAGGTGAGTAGAAAGCTTGGGAGTCAAAGAAAACTAATCCACAGTAAAGCTGTAGATAAGGCAGGGTTCCTCTAACCTTTTATCTTTTCATCTGCGGGGTTCACGCTCTTTGAAACACACATGCACTGTCAAACAAGGATCCGTCACTTCCGGGCTTTCGGACCCCAACGTGGGGTCCTGTTAAAGAAATCAGGGCAATAAGGCACCGTCAGATATTCTCCTCCTGACAGCCTGTATCTAGCTGTAGAGTTTAAGAGTTTCAGTAAAGGTGCTTCAGCTAACTAAAGCGCAGGACGAGGGAGAAACCTTGTCAGGGAGGAGGCACGGGGGGCACCAGCTGTCTAAGACCCCCAAAAAAAGAGCGAACGTGCCCCCTTTTCTGACGCTTGCCTCTCAGTGACTTCATTGGTGCTGTAGTTGTGTCTGCCGATCAGCTGTTCTCTGATCGGCAAAGCTTACATATACAAGTAGGATGAGCCGGTTGTGGATGTCTTCCTCGAGGGTGGTGGTGGTGGTGTGGGGGGGTGCTCTTTATTTAACCAAAACACAAAACTGGGTCTAGCCTCTTTAATACATAGTTATAAGGATTATGCAGTTCACTATATGCATTCAGGAAGTGCAGTGGTTTTTATAATAATTGTATCATCAGTATTGTGTTGCACACTTGCCGGTTGATCCATAAGAAAAGACACATAGAAACACTATGCAGCCGTGTCGATATCTCTCTCAGTTACCAAAGTCAAAGTCCACGTGTGGCGTTAAAAGGAAGCGAGGGAAACCACATATCCGTCTGAAGCATTCCAAATCTGTATTTTTACATCACGGTAGTATACCTGGATCTGTCCAACCCACTCTGCGATTGTACTTCTTTAGTTTTTCTGATAGTTTACATTATTGTGTCATTTTTGTCACCTTTTTGATTAGATGTCCTCTTTTTTTTCTCTTCTTTCTTTTCAATCATGATTGTTGTTACACTGGCACTTTAAGTGATTGGCGTCTGTCGTACGCCTGACACATCAGGCATTTGATCAATATTTCTGCACAAGCAAGTCCTGACTCTCCCGTAAACCTTCTGCGCGACCTCTTTTTGAATCACTTATACTTTCTTTGTCCTCTGTTCAGATATTGTGTGGGCATTGTGATTTTTAATAAAAAAAGGCACATGATGCAACAAAAACGGAACCAGTCCCAACAGACTCTGGGTCAGTTTTAGTTGTTATTGCTGTAAGCTTCACCAGAGGTGGACACGTTCTACTTAAGTCAAAGTTCTGACTTTTTTTTTCTTTACATTTCTAGTCTAGACAATGTATTTCAATAGCATCTCATAGAAGTTTGTGACTTTTTTTTTTTTTTTTTTGCATGCTTCTATTCCTGTGAAGTGATTTTGTAAGTAAAATATGAAAGTCGTAGACATTAGGAAAGTAGCTTTATTTAAAGTGAGGCTACTGTATATAACAGAACAGCAGCCACCGTGGATACATGTGACAATTATTAATAAATGCTAAAAAATAGTGTAACATTAGCCACCGTCAAAAGTTGACGTGGCTCCACCGAGACGGTTACCAGCAGCGCCCCGCCCATGAAAAGTCTAGCCATGGCTTTGGTAAAGCCTGGGGGGGGGGGGGGCAAATGTTTAGGTTGGAACCAGAGGTAGCCACACCAGATGTAGGAGAACAGAAGAACACTTTTTAGCTGCACGTGCTGAGTCAGGATATCTGCAGGTGTGCCGTGAGGTGCCGACTCGCTGGCAAGTGGAGCTTCATTTCCATGTTCCAGCCGCGTGTTAGTGTAACCTCAAACTCAGTTCTGGGCACGGGAACAAAACCAGCTCTTACAATGCTTGGTCTGCTGATTCAGGGAAATCTTGCATGGCCATAACTCTATATTTCTAATGTAAATAACAGCGGTCAGTCAATAGAAACTTACTTAAATACACAATTGGAAACTGCTAAAACAAAATAATATAAATATTGTGTGTGTTGTTGTTGTGCTGTTGGTCTGGAAATGCTGACTTCTTCCTTTTTTAACATGTTTTTATACACCTAGTGTTAAGGTGTGTTAAATTGCCTTTGTTTCCTAAGATTTTGGAAATTTGTGTACAAAGCAATTACTTCATTTAATTTCTGTATCGTACTGCCTTAATCTGACAATATATATTCCTCTCTGTATATATATATAAATATACCAGTGTTATTGTAGTCCAATAGACAAAAGCATTAAATCATAAAGAAATCATTTATATGTAATAATTGCACTCCACTGAATTGGTACTCCTTGTATTGCATGAGGTCTCCTAAATAAAGAAAACATTCATAATTGCCTGTCTGTAGTGTGTGTGTGTGTGTGTGTGTGTGTGTGTGTGTGTGTGTGTGTGTGTCTCCAGTGTTTCTTGGCCTCAGTCTTGGTCTTGGCTGCTGCTGTGTGAGGTCACATACCACAGCAGTTAGCTGCTAATGTCCTCCCCAGATTCCCTTTCTTTCTGGCAGGCAGTGATAAACTGACTGACTTTAAGCTGAACTGGATGATCTGGACTTGCATGCCTGCTGAAAAGACAAAGAGTAAACTGTTTTTTTTGCGTGACAGAAGGGCTTGGCCTGGGACATGTTGGCATTCTGTGTTTTTCATTTTTAACAAATAATCAAGTGTATTTCTATATTTTATTGCTGATATGCTTTCAGTAAATCTGAGCGTATTGCGATGGTCCTAATAGAAGTTAGTACCCCTTCTAAGAGGTTTAAGTAACACCAAATACCAATGCACTGCCTAATCAGGACAGCTAACAATAGCGCCTGTTTGAGTGTCTGAACACAGCTTTTGCCGGACACATGTCCCGTCCCAGCATCAGACATCAAAACATTTAATTTAACCTGAAGATGGATGCTCTCTGGTACGACAGTGTGTGAGATGACTTGAACAAAGAAAATCAAAATACATATATTTAATGATTTAGACTCTAAATAGTCACATACTGGCTTGTTTTTAAGAGCATAATCTGCAGTAAGAATTAACATGCACTTATTGTTAGTGCTCTTTGTCACAGTAACATGAACCACTTGAAAAACCGCATAATTATATGAGGGACAGTCCAATGTCTACAGACATGAACTGAAACTCTAGATGGGCACACAGGGAAAATATCTTCCTCTTTATGTGCAAGACCTCTAGTACCATCTGAAATAATGAGCGAAGGAAATTCTCCCAAAAAAAAAAGAAAATGTGCATGTTTGATCCGAATCTCCTGTCAAGACCTTGCGTTCAGCCTTTAACTGTCATGTCAAAGGTGCGTCAGAAACAATATTTAACTGATACCACTGCTGATAGGGAAAGTCAGGTGTTACAATTTCACAAGTCAGTTGTTTAACATATACTGTCTGTACATTGAGGCACCTTTATTATAGCAAGTTGACCTTGCTCATTTTGCTGGAGTCTCTGCTGGTTGCATGACAAGACTTCTGTAAATCACTACACCCGGCCTAGAAGTAGTCCAGCACATTATCAGCGAAACCACAACTTGTTGATTCTGAATGAAATAAAGAAATGAGATAATATGTGTTGATTGGTGAGCTTTAGGTTGTTGTTTTTTACATTTGGGCAGAGCCAGGTTAGCCCGTTTCCAGTCTTTATGCTCAGCGGAGTTAACCTGTTACACTGAAGCCTTTTGAGGGAGTGAGTCGGTGTCAGTTGGTGCTGAACTGGAAAAAAAGACTCCAAAGTTTGACAGTGAAAAATACTTTGGGTTTGAAGTAATTAAGAAGTGAGTTTACCAGACCCTTTGTAGCTCAGCGCTCCTCATCTCTGCTTGAAGGTAGCAACTCCAGACTGCATTCATCAACACAAGCAAAGGAATAAGATGGAGTGCTCCTTTAAGTTAAAAAATGATGACCCACTTACACAGAAAATCTAGATTTGACTTCCTCCCCTCATACACAGAGTCTGATGCTCTTCTGTGAGCTGATTTTCAGTCTTTTTGTTTAAATTAGTTTTATATGTATTTCCCATATATTTGTTATAAATATACTATAGTATGTACATTTGCATTGCTCAGGGGTAAATGGACAAAGGCGGTGGACAAAGAAGACCGTCAACCTGTCACAAAGTCCAAGGACTTAAACTAGATCGCAAAGTGAATTTTCTTTTTCAAGGAAAGTAAAGTTTACCATGAGGAATCAGTCGGCTTTAAAATCCCAGCTCATATAAGTGACAGATAAGCAGCTTACGACTCAATAAGGATATATAGGATGACCTATATGACCATCTAAAGTTCAATGTCTAACACGGAGGTCATGACGAGGCAAAAAAGGATCTGTCCTCTGTGGTGAGAGACCGGAGCACATGAGAAAGGAACTGAAAAACGCTGAGATGAAATTGTGGCCTGGGAACACTCTCCTTCAGAGACAGCTGACTCAGGACTTTCAGGTTCGTTACCGTCTTTACAGCATCAATGTGACTTTTAAGGCCCTGGTCACATAAGAACAGTTTATGTCAAGACCCCAACCAGGAGCTGTATTGTGAAATATCAGGCATCAATTCAAATAATATGCAATAATGATGTATGCAACTATTTTTCAAAGTAAGAGTCCGACTATAAGTGTCATAGTTCACCTGCTTATACAACAGCTACACACATAACCTTCCCTCTCCATTATATCGACAATGGGAGAAAAAAGCCTGACTCTGGAAAACATACTGCGGTTGTTTAAAAAGGTACGAGACAAAGATTTAAGAAAGGCTTACATTGTTTTATTAAGTTTATAGAAGTAGAGAAAAATGTGTGTATGCATACAGTGCCTATTGAGTTTAACTTTTCACCCCACCCTTGGACTTTTTATAGTTTTAACATTGAATCACAGTGGATCTCATTTGTTTGTTTTTTAAACACGCTTTATTTTTTTGTGCAAGTAAAAATAAAAATGTAATCACTGTTGTAGCCAGTTGTATGAAGTGAAATGTTTGTGTGTGTTTAATAAAAGTATTAAAATAAAGCCATTTGTGGCAAATGCAGGTGTATTTCATTTAATATTCTGTCAAAAACATGAGGACCAGTGATTCACAGCCAGGGACTCTTCTCAGTCAGAGCTCAGCTCAGACCGATCATCCAAATTAAACTATGGCATGACCATAACTCTAATTCACAAACATGTGATGTCCTCAGCTCCTAATTACCAGCAGGCATGTGAGACTGAAATGAAATTGTCTTTTATTTTCCAACAAGACAACAGACAATTACAGGAATTACACTAAAAACTAATGTTAATGTTCTCGTTAAAATCCAGACCTCAATGCAGTCCAGAGTTTGTGGCAAGACTCAAACAGAGCCTTAGCAGTTTCAAAAATCTGGGAGAATCTTTCATTGTTCGCATGTGTAAACCGATACAAACATTGACTCATGACTGTAATTGCTGCCAAAAGGAGCAGATACTTATGCAATCAAATATCTTCTGTTTTGTTTAAACATTGACATTGTTTTGTTCTTTGCAAGAGATCCATTCTGATTTAATGGCATAATACAAATAATAAAAAAACACTGATGTGGTGAAAGCTTTCTTTATGCACCGTATCTGTGTGAGTGTCTTTGCACGCGGTCATGTTCAAGAGTGCAGGAGGCCTGAGAGCCAGCTGTGGTCCAGTTTCTTCACCCTCCTCAGCTCCCTGACCTGGGCTTTTGTCAGAGGGGGGGCTGCCGACTCTGCCGACTGAGCTCCTGGTAACGCCTGCTCTGGTCTCGAGGTGCTGGATTCCATTTCCCCCTCGGAATCCTCTTCCTCTTTTTCGCTCTCCATTTCCTCCTCTGCGTGTTTGTTTTCCTCTCTGAGGCCACGAGAACAAACATGGGAAAAAAAAGAAAGAAAAAAAGGTTAATGTGACTTTGCATATTTTAGAGGTAAACAAGGGACTTAAGTTGCTGAATCATGCACAGCCTGAATTCCATCAGCGTTGTGCCAACTCACGCTGACAGTGAAGTAATACTACTGACCTGGCGTCGGTAACGGAGATGAGTAGAGACTCTACAAACATTGAACAGAGGAAAGAGGTCGAGGGCAAAACGTGGGCCGGGGTCTGCAGAAGCTGTCGAGAAGAAGAAAAAAGAAGATTTAACGCACAACAAACTGATGCATCAAAATATTTGAAACTCTGATAAGTCAATGTCACAAACACAAGAAGTGGACATAACCCATGTCTGAACTACCGACCTCTTTGATAGCAACAGAGCCCTGAGGCAGAGGAGTCCTCTCGGCAGACGGGCTGCCGCTCAGTGTGTCCGGATTTTCCTGTTTCCGGTGTTTCCCCAGCAACAGGTAGAACGGTGTCATGGCAACACTGTCATTGATCACGAGCTTGAAGGTGAGGGGGTGGGGGGGGGAGGAAATAACTCAGGTTATTTTAAAAAAATAGGTCAACAGTTTGAAGAGGTGAAGAGATCCAGTAAAGCCGAGTCATACAAAGATGTTTAGATACGTTATGAGAGAACAGGACTTGTAAACAAGAACTTTATGGAGTTTAGCAGCTTCAGTAACTTTCAATAAGTAATGAACAAGCTCTTCACCATTACACTGGGTTAATGGCACAGTTTTCCTAGTCTTAGTTTTGCCATGTTCAGACTGCCAAGCATGACTCCAAACATGCTCGGTGGGCAACATCCGGAGGTTCTGAGTAGCGGCATGAAAACATGTGAAACCCTCTGATGCAGAGTGAGGGGGATCCCATCAGGAGTTTTTGGGGCCAAATCACTGGAAGCAGTGTGAGACGATACCGATCACAGGCTCTATTTAAAGCCTTCTATATGTTGTCGAGCATTATTTATTTCTTGAGACGCAACTTATTTTAGCGCAGCATGGAGAAACCAGCTTGCGTGTTTTCTAGTCATGTGATCGGCTCTTGTGATTGGTCGTTACAGAGACAATCGATCTGGGCGTACAGAAACGCTCAGGTGGGCCGTACCCGTTTGCTGGACGCCATCAGTCGGTCTTCCTCCGCCTTAGTGGTGAATGTCATGAGGTCCTGTAGAGAAGAGAGAGCACAGCAGCCAATACTGTTAACACGATAACAGCACACAGAAGGAGTCATTGGGGGAAAAAGGGTAACTAAAATGACATAATAGCCACGATGTTCAGGTCGCATAAACATGTTACTGAGAAGACACAGAACCTGAAGATTTATCTAGAACACATATCTAATAGTGTTTTTCTTGGTGTACCATGTACTGAGTGAGGAAGTACAGCTGGGAGCGGTTGAGCCACTGGCTGCTCTCCTCACAGCTCTCCAGCATCTCCTCCCTCGGGGCAAACACGGCACGAGTAACCTTCCCCGAGCACACGGC